TCATTCTGGCGCCGCTGATACGCACCGCATCCCAACTGATGACTAACCGACTTCTGCCACAGCCATACCTCGCCCTCTGCGCCCACTGGAAAAGTCGCAACGCCTTTGACTAATGGCAACGGCAGCCACGATGACGCGTCGGAAAAGAAGGCCAAGGACGAGTCGAACGCGAACGCAGCTGACACGGAGTCTGCCGCCGCGAAAGGGTCTGCGCCGAGCAAGCCTGACTCTACGTCCGAGCCTACGCCAGCAAAGGAGGCACCCGAGACTGCGAAATCGGCCTCAAAGTCGCCACAGCCGCCAGCATCACTGCCCCCGAAGCCTCCGGCGGCCGCCGCAACAACCGATGAGGCTCCTCAGAAGGAGTCATCCCCGGCAAAGGATGAACCTATCCAGCCATCTATTGAGTCATCGAACTCGGGGGACGCCACGGCAAAGACGACTGAGTCGAGCAAGCCAGAAAAGGCTTCTCCGCCGGACGAGGCGGACGACGTAGAAATGCAACTCGACTCACCCGAACCCGAAGCCGCCCCCAAGTCACCAGCTGCCAAGCCAAACGGGACGGAAAAGACGTCTTCGCCACCCACATCCAACCCGACTGCCGATGTAGACCTGAAACCAGCGAGCTTGTCCCAACTCGACCTCGATGGCAAGAAGGGCTCTCCCTCGCCACGACCTGATGCTGACGTCACTATGAACGACGCTCCAGCATCTTCCTCAAATAAGGTCGCCCGTGATCGCGAGGATGATAATGTCGAGGAGCCTGCTGCCAAGCGCGCAAAGACCGAACCCCGGGACGAGGAGCCCGAGCCTGCGACAGAGCGCGCAGCAACGGCCGAGTCCACAGTCGAGGTGGCGTCTCGCCTGGATGTCGCGACAGATGACGAACCCGACCCATTCCGCAATCTGAAGGGCTGGATGACGCGGCTCTCAACGCGACGCCTGTCACGCAGCATCGGATCCGCGAGTACCGCAAGTCCTTGCCGGTATCAAGAAGACAAAGCATGGCGCTATCTTCAAGGACTCTGTCGCAAAGATGTGGCCTCAGCTTGGCGGAAACTATGCTGCTCTTGTCGCGAAACCCATGGACATTGGTTTGATGGAACGCAACCTGCGCGATGGGACTAAGTATCCCACGCTCGGAGACCTCAAGGCGGATCTGACGTTGCTGTACAGCAACGCCGTGTCCTTCAACGGCCCCAGCCACGACGTCACACTCGCGGGGAAAAACGTAGTGCCGGCGATCTGGGCTAGGCTCCTGGATATCCCGGCCGAGGAGCCCCCCAAAGCAAAGGCGCCACCCAAGCACAACCCTTCGAGGCAGGCCGAACAACGGCCGCCTGTCGCTGCGCCCCGACCTGCTGCCGTCCGTAAAGAACCGCGTCCCGTGCCCCCCAGTCCCGCCGCTAGACCCGACGCTGAGGCATACGCCGTACCGCCTGGTGGCGTGCCGCAGGTCCGACGGGCGTCAACGCACAATGACACGGACAGGCCGAAGCGCGCAATCCACCCGCCCAAGAGCAGAGACATGGATTACATGGCGCTTCAGAATTTTAACAAAAAGAAGCTGCCGTTGGATCTGCAATTTGCCTACGAGGTCGTCTCCTCCCTGATGGATGTCAAGCACGAGGCCATCAATGCACCCTTTGTCGTGCCTGTCGACCCTGTCGCGCTGCAGATTCCTCAGTACTACTCCCTTATCAAGAACCCCATGGACCTGGGTACCATCAAGAAGAAGCTCATGACAAACGAGTACCAGACCGCCAAGAGCGTTGTGGGCGACGTGCAGCTCATTGTGAAGAACTGCCTCAAGTTCAACGGCCCTGACCACCCCGTGTACGGGCTCGCGGTCCAGCTCGAGAGGCTCTTCCGCGACATGTGGAGCAAGAAGGAGCAATGGATCACCAAGCACACGCCGGCCAAGCCCGCGTCAGATGCTGGGTCGGGTGAGGACAGCGAGGAAGAGTCAGAAGACGAGCAAGCCGCCTCTGCACCCGCTGCTAAGATCACTAACGGCGCGATCCAGCAGCTCGAGCAGCGACTCGCGGACGAGACGAGAAATCTGTCGCAGCTGCTCATGAACATAGACAACCCCGACGAGACGATGATTGATGTGCAGCGTACTGTCGTGAATGCCATCAGGAAGCGTCTCATCGAAGAGAAGGAGCGCGCCGGGACCCAGAAGGCTGAAAAGCCGGCCAAGAGCAAACCTGCCAAGCCAAGCCACAAGGCCAAGGCCCCTGGCAACGGTCCGAGCAAGAAGGCCGCCGGTGGCCCGTCGCACAAGAAGGGTGGTGCTTCAGGACCCAAGAAGAAGCGGCAGATGACTCAGGTTGAGAAGGACGCGATCGCCAACGGTATCAACGACTTGGACGAGAACAATATCGCGCGGGCCATTGACATTATCAAGAAGGACACGGGTCAATCTGTACGTGATGACACCAACTGGTCGGCCACCGACATTTGTTTGCTAACCCGTGCCTGCAGGAAAACGACAGCGGCGAGCTCGAGCTGGAGATTGACCAGCTGACTCCCGATGCCCTCCACAAGCTGTGGGATCTTCTCAAGAAGGTTCTTCCCGGTTTCGCCGCCTCGGTGCATCCTCCAGCGGCAGCCGCACGTGACTCGTCCCCAGGTAGCGCCAGCGGTGGCGGACAGAAGAAGTCGGGCAAGCCGAAGAAAAACAAGTCCATGAATGCTCGCGAACAAGAGGCGCGCATTGCCGAGCTCGAGCGCCTCAAGAACCAGTACCAGTCAGGCCAAGAGCCCGCTGGTGAACGTGACCCGGAGGTGCCTCTTCACCCGCTGCGTGAGGACTCTTCTGATTCTGAGGAAGAGTGAGCCTCTCGCAGCATGAGGCGGTTTTGCGTGTCTACACTTTATTTGAGCATCGTGCGGCAGTTGTTCTCCGACCGGTGCCCCGACCGGAGGGCAGCAGCCACGCTTATCCGAGGGAACATACCATCGCAGTGAAGGAGCATCTATTGCCGCCGCGAGCTCCCTTGAAATGGCCGAGAGTAACTCTCCATCATGAGGTGCGTTTCGATGGCAAAGGCTTTGGAGGAGAAGAGAGCACCAGAGGACTTGACTAGGTCATCCTGGTCGGCTGCATAGTGCAAATGCGCCGAAGAAGAAAAAAACAGGCGTGGGGAGGTCGGTCTGAGGACCAAATTTTTAAGAGTTGCGTCGAGGATACTATTCCCTCGAGGCTGCAGGGGAGGCCGTGACCAATTGGTCACGCTGGGAGGATGAGGATGAAATGCGAGACGAGGCGTAATCGTGACGAAGAAAGCAAGCAGAGCATGATCTCAAGGGGGAGGCGTTCTGCGAGCGACTGGCCGCGTGAGGCGACTGGTTGCGGTAACCCTGAATTGTACAACTTAATTCGTGCATGGCGTTCGTTTTTTGGTGCTCTCTGGGTGAATTTTGTTGCTGTGAGGGGGGTGTTCAAGGATACGTAGAAAGCTGTGTTGGCGCGGCAAGTCTTCACAAGCTTCGGTCACTCGCTGTCAGTGATCGTCGGCAAGAGAATGAAGACTGGATTCCCATCTTTACTGCGAGTCTGCCGGCCAGAGAGGAGAAATCTGAGGTTTGTCGGATCTGGTGGGCAGGTGAAGAGGAACCGTGTTCCACACAGAGGGCTGTAAGATGTAGAGATCATCTTACACAGGAAAACAGTCACGCTACTAAGCGTGCTTTCGAGTTTCCGGGGCCAGTTTTCCGAGTATTGCATAGAGAAATACATTCGACCTGCATCCAACAGGCCTCATGATCGGGGTCAGTCGGCTCAATATTGACGCCGTTGTCAGTCATCCGCCACAGCAGGCGGACACCATCGCTCAAGACCATGCGCAGCACGCAACACGCATCTTTTCCAAAGGAAGAGAGGATACCGCGGAAGCTGGTGCAGGAGGTCACGCAAGCGCCAGCCGCCTGTGAAAGGCATCGAGCATGGCCGTGGCTCGGTCCGCCGTCCAGCGCGGTCCGTCCCCGAGGCAGATGCTGCCCTTCACCATGTCTCCCACGAATGCGCAGACCACGGTCCTCACCCCCGGGTCGCCGCCATCGTGCAGCCCTTGCTCCAGCAGATGATAGCGCGTGCCGAGCCTCGCGCGCAGCAGCGTCTCAATGGCGGGCGGCGGGAGAAACGTGTCGATCGGTGTGCCGTTGGCCTCGCACGCCGCGACCATCATCTCGTGGAACCGCAGCGCAACGTCCGGATTGTTCCCCGGATGATCGGCATCGAGGGTGCCGGCGCCGCGGAAGCGCAGACGCGCGTGCAGCCCTTGCAGGACGTCTCGGCCCGGTTGGAGCGGCGGGATCGTCCCGAAGACCTCCCACGCCACACGCGTGGCCGTCGTGTCGCCGAGGAGGCTGGCTTGCAGGAGCTTGAAGCCGTACGACAGGCTCGCCCAGAAGAGGACGTTGGAGAGAGACGTCTTCTCCTGCAGGTACGGCATGATGTCGGCCGGTGGAA